CACAGCCTCAGGAAGCAGGAAGAAGCAACATTGCCCCCAGCTAAACCCCCCAAAGAAAAACACACCACAGACAACAGGGGGATTTACAATACAGACATAACCAAAAGCTCTTTCTTCTTGCTCAGTGGCCCGATCATTGTCTGTTTCTGTTTGAGGAATGAGTCACATCCACTCATTTTCTCAACACAAACCCCAGGTCCCTGAACACACCATTAACTCACCTACTATTCTTCCTTAATGACTCACTGGACTCTAGGCTCGGGGTAATTATTGACAAGTCACAAAGGTGAGATGTCGCCCACAGTTGTCTCACTTCCTCTGTTTCTTTTGGCATTTGAAAAAAAGTTCTTTAATGACTTGTTAAGAAACTGATTTGGCTTAACCTTAACAAAACAGATATCCGAGTGGGTTAGCGGATCGGACGTAAATGAATAATAAATGGCGTCCCGCTGTTTAGAGACCGCAGTTTTTCTGGTGTTTTTTCCCCATTCGCTTTGATATGCAAAAAAGCCAAAACAGCAGGACATAACGGTAAGTATTTCATATGAATACATACAGTAAAAGTTTGTGATTGGTCAGTTCAAAGTGAAAATGGGGGGTTTAGTTCAAATCAACCCCCTATACGGCTCAATTACCAAAAACCCTGCCTAGTAAAAAGCACTTTCAAGACAATGCGTATACAGTGTGTCAGAAACTTGCAAATGATCCAATTGTCTAACTGATATGTGAATAAAAAAGATTTTTGTAATCTTAATAAGTCTCGCTTCTGCCAGATAGTTGGCAAAGAAGAGAAAACCAAGAGAGACAACTGGGGGGGGGGGGGGTTTAAAGAGTCACGAGAGGCTGCAATTAATGTAATCCCTACGCTTGGCTTCAATGTCGAATAAATGGGTGATCACATCCCAATCCTCACACTCATTCCTGTCACACTTAAGCTGTTTTTTATACTTTTTTCTAAGGGCAGCTTCTGCAGAAAGAGTCTGTCATGGTTTCCCGGCACTCAGACTATCAACAGCGAGCATTAAACTGACACTGTGTGCTTTTAACAAGAAGAAGCACGTCTCGCAGCAATGATTCACATGCGTACGCTGTTGTCAACATGTAGAAGTACACATGTAGATTTGAACACCTGGGGCGACGCTGACATATGTCCGTAAACAGGCTGGAGCAACTCCGCACATTCTGATGTGGTAACAAATCTTGCAAAACGATATCAGGCAAGAAACAACACAACAGCCCGAGTCTAGATGAGTAAAAAGAAATGGAGCCCCCCAATCACAGCCTGTTCATTGACTCACCATCTCAATCACCAATGTGTTAGGTCATAAAACATCTGAGCGGTGACAAATCTCATGATTTTGTAAACCGATCCCTGCATGATGGGGCACGGGTTCTCAGGAAGCATATGGTTACTCATGAGGCAAAATACTTTCAAGTTGATGTAGACACAAACAGAGATAAGAGTCTGAGAGGGCTGGAGATAACGTCATAGGAAAGCCAGAGACAGAACATTTCCAGATGTTTTCAACTCGTTCTGTGTTTATATTTGTCTGAGATGAAAAGTAAACGCTTCAGTTAGCCTGTGTAACTTTTTAGAGAAGAAATAACACATTATTTCTCCTCCAAAATAACTCAAAATGCAATATGTTGTTCATTTACGCTAGCAGAACATTGCTAAGGAGAACAGGCCAATGCTTGGGAGGATCAAGGGACTATGAGGTCACATCAATCGACAGAAAGAAGTCTGGTGACTAACCTTAATGTTAATGAAACAAAGAAAATACTATAGTGTTCACTTTAATTCATCATACACTTTATTATCTCTAATGCTGCGTTCACACCGGACGCGATGCGATGTTTGGGGGCGGTGCGATTACATGTAAAGTCAATGCAGAGACGCGGACAGATGCGAATTCGCTCCGACGGTGCGCATGAAGCGGTGGACGCAGCGCAAATCACGCGATTGAGGCGATTGAACGGTGCCGCGTTAAACGCGAGAGTTCAATTTTTTCAACTCGAGCGTCAAATTCACGTGGCGCGTTCTCGCGGAAGCCAATCAGCGGTGAGGATCTCAGCCTGCCGTCACTGACGTTCAACCACACAACATCAGCCGTTAGCTGTTAGCAGTTAGCACACAGAGCTCACAGCTCCTCATATCTGTTCAGAAACTGGACAAAAGTTAAACAAGTACAAACCAGACTGTCTGTGCCATGGCGAATACAGTCGCTAGTTTATTTATGTCTGTAGGCCGTTGTTATGAGTGTGGAATGAGCATATACAACAAGCTTAGCCTGGTCGACCCGATCTTCATTCAGAAAACAAGCATTTTAAAAGATTTTTCGCCTGCCGTCTTATCTGCAGACTTGTCAAGCATTAATTCATGGTTTTTACTAACCGGTATCAGTATGTTGTTACTTCGGCATCATTTTGAAACGTGTATTACAATTTAATCACGGTAAAATATGTTCATGTTGTTGTAGTTGTAGCTCCCGAGCCAGCGCGTCTTGTTTGAATGATGCGAGTAAACACAGCTGGCAGCCGCGGTGAAACTCCAGCGTTTAGAGCGATGCAATAGGAGCGATTAGAGCGAAGTGAATAGTCGCATCGCGTCCGGTGTGAACGCAGCATAAAGGAACACTGGGTTGCATTGTGTTTAGGTTCGACAAAGTTCCCAGATATTCGTGTTAAAGAACTAATCGGGGTCTGATCACTACCTCATCCTACAGATTGGGAAATAATTCAAAGGTGTAGGATGAGCCAACATTCCTGACCGACCGCATCAATGCTCTTGCTGACGATTTCTTAGAAGGGAGGAGGCCGTTGTGGTTTTGGAATGAGATGTGGGTGGGATGTCTGCCATGAAATGTACATCATAATAAATCAAAAACACATACAGCTGTACATCCGGGATGTGAGACGCCATAAGCAGTAAGCCAAAAAAAGTTGCTTAACACAACGTTTGATGCAATGTCATACGGTATCAAAGGAAGCTGGACTTAAGCCTTGCACTTGAGACGTGTATTATATCCTCTCTGGACAGGAGGTGTCAAATGCATTTTGGTGAAAGCTGCCACTTTAAGGCTGAAATTGGGCCCTCTGGCGAGCGGCTCTGAAGCTTTCACACAGTGGAAATGTCACCTGTCACACGCATTTGTGGTCTGCCACTGCTGTGTGCATCGGCTCTGTCATGCCCTGTAACCGGCATTAGTTTGGGAGATGAGGCTGGCACCCTCTGAACGTCCGCCATATTAAACTGCCTTGTTTGTATACAAGCCATAAGTGGATAGGGGATATGACGCGCTGGCCATCAGCCTGCAGTGAAAGGGTATTTAATAAGTCTGGCCTATTTAAAATACAAATACACGAGCAGCACATGTAGCCAAGAGCAGCTCCCCAAAGTGAAGACCTTGTATGTGTTATATATCAAAGGATAGCTAGTTTCTGGAGAGACTGGACTGGGCTTTTCAATGTGGAACATCAAAGATTCTGTCCATAACAAGAAATGCAAAGTTTTCCAGCTCACACTTCAAAAACACACACTGGGACGGCGGGGCGAAACGCACCACACACAGTTCATTTATTCTTTTTGACGGTCGGCGTGTATGTGTGGGTGGGCAGCGATGGCATCTTTCAGTTACTTATTCAACGGCTGTCAAAACACGACAAAGGAGAAGAACGCAGGGAGAAACAAAAACTGGTGAGGGTGTAAGAGAGAAGAAAGACATAAAAAGAGAAGAGCGAGGGAGGACATGAGGAAAGAGGACAAAAATAGAAACGGCACAAAAACAACAAGACTTTCCGTGTCCTCAATGCATCATAAAAATGTTTAGGTGCCATTTCAGATTCTTGCAGTAGAGTTGACTTATATTCTGCCCATGTTCTGATATTTAGAGAGATGTGTTGCCTTGGCAGACCATTTACATGCACAACAACCTGTATAACACGCTACAGGGAAGGGAAAACCCCCCAAAAAACACTTTTAGGACCAGATGTTCTGAAGTCAGCTGACCCTCACTCTTGAGGAGTGAGTCAGCTCTGCAGAAAGACACTTTATTTGTGTAAAGAAGAGACAGGAACATCTGGTTTCCAGTACAAACTTGCCTCCTTATAACCCATCTTTACTGCAGGGAGGGGATTCTCAAGCAGCTCAAGACCTGTTGATTTCCCAGCATGCACTGCTCACATTCCTGACCTCCTTCTGTCACTCTTTAACTCACCTCACCCTCTACATCTACATCACCCCCCCCCCCCCCCCAACCCCTTTACACTTCCCCACTGCTGTCTTTGAGCTGTGATGATTGACAGGAAGTGTTTTTAAAATCAGGTACTAACAGTACATGCAAAGTACATAAAGTAATGGTGGTGATGTTGCCTTTAAGAGTGTGACCTGACAAAACCATGAGAGCTGGCACCCTGTGGAGTTGGGAATGTGGTGAAAAAGCCAAAAGGGAATGATAAGACCTCCTGACCCCCCATTTTTTAATCTGCACCCCACAGAGGGACAGATATCCAATGAGCAGTCACTCCTCTCTGCTACATCAAGGCCACGCTGACAAAAGCACTGCGTCCAAAAAATTAAGCTTCCAATTCATTTCAATCAAACTGAAGCATTTGCACAGCAGTATTCTGCGGAAATGCAGGACAATACACACAATACGGGTGTCAGGTTGCATTTTAAACTGGACTTCCATGTCTGTAATCACATGTCCCGCCCCCAGCAGACACTAGCTACAACTTTTGTGAAAAAAAATTAAGGGCAGTGCTATTTTTGGGAGGTTTGACACATCCTTTGCCCCAAGGCAGGAAGGACATCACAGATAACCCCGGGAGGACATAATCAATACTGACACAACACAAAAAACTAGCATTAAAGGGGGACACACAACACGTAGGAAAGAGTCTAATCCCCTGCATGCAAGACTGTTTTTGCACTGTAAACATGTGAGTGCAAAAACAGCCCAAAAGACACCAGTTGCCATTCAGATGAAGTTAATACTCACTGTGCATAGAGCCTTGCTGCTGACTGGAGGCTTTAGGTGGGCTGATCTTGCTCTTGGGGGGGAGCATCTCCATGTGTTGGCCCTTCTCACCTGGATTCTGTCTGGGGGCCTCGGCCTGAGTCTCGCTCTGTGCTTTGTCCTGAGTCCCAGCGACTTTAAGAGACTTCTGTCGGCTCAGGATCCCATCGCTACCTGCCCTCATCAGCTTTTCCCCAACGCTCAGCACCCGAACTCGACCCGTTGATTCCTTCCTGGGGGAGGGAAGCCTAGATCCGGCCCCGATGGAGGAGGCGGAGGGCCGCGCCAGCCTGGAGGCTTTGGACATCCTGCAGCAGGTCAGAAAAGCTCCTCAGCCAGAGTGACTGCAGTGGTGTCCCGTGAGGAAATCCAGGGTGTCTCCGCTGTGAGAGAGTGTGACTCTGCGGCGTGTTGTGACTGGTGCAGGTAGGCTGGAAGGGGCCGGCACTTTGGAGAAGCTATAGGTGAGGGGTGGGGGGTTAACAGATCCTTGGAAGGTGTTCTCTCCTCCTGGCGTGGCCTCGTGGGAACATCCTCCAAAGCAAACAGTGTGTGTAAGTGTGTGTGTGTGTGGAGTGACAGGTCTTGCTGTGCCAAATGCAAACAGAAACTCAGGTCTCCAGTGTCAGCGCATTCCGGCTTTTTAATCCCCCTCTCTCTGCGTCTCCTTCACACTCTTTTTTTGTACATTTCTCACCTTCTCTTGCACTCCGAGTAAAGGTTGTCAACTTGCCTGAAAAATCTTCCCCATGTTGCTGTCCTTGTGTGCCTCCTTGCTCACTCGCTTCTCCTCTCTGCTGATGCTCACACGGGTGACCGTTCCAGCACTCCGGCAAAAAGCAGAGAAAGATTTAGAGACAGCAAAAAAAAGAGTACGAGAGAGATAGAGAAAGTACCGGCTTTGTGGAGGAGCTCTTCTCTTCAGGTGCAGCTGCTCAAGCTGTTCCAGATGTGCGTGTGTGTGTGTGCGTGCATGTGTGTGTGTGTGCATGTGTGTGTGTGCAGCGCTTCACGTCATCACCCGACCGCTCTGAGCCACAATCACTGGTTTCACTTCGTTCCCTCTTTCTTCATCTTGTTCGTCTCTGGTCCCTCTACTCCTGACAGCCTGAACTCGCCACATGTGATGAGTCGACCGGAGGCGGGACAAAAACCCCAAGCCCTTCACTCACTGATGCTGGAATTTACAGAGAATTACAGAGCGCAAAGGAGGGGGGCTTAGCAGCGTGTGTGTGTGTGTGTGTGTGTGAGAGAGATACACACAGTGGAGCTGTTCTGATCTCCTGCAAACGAAGACATCAGCTGTGACACGAAAGACATATAAGAAGTTGGCTCGGAGAAAAAGAGGAGAAGATCAGAGCTTTCTGACACTTCTCATCTTGCTTAAGAAAAAACATCTCTTCCTTAAAGAACTCTCAACAAATGTCTGACCCACAGAAATGTCCTCAGCCAAATAATAATTGCCAGACAAGAACAATAAAGTATGAATCACTGCAGGGCGGACACAGCAAAAACAAGGTTTTACAGCATTTTCTTCTGTTGTAAAAGCACACTTTGCTGACACAGAGCGAGTAAACCACAACCCCATAAACGAGTCTTGATTCATTGACTCTAATCTAATGTCTAATTCATAACTCTGCACACCTATTTTGGGCTCTGAGCCTGTGACAGTGTAATATGCCGCAGCACGCGAAACAGGACATGTGATATAACGTCATTTCGTGCTTACAGACTAAACACCAGAAAATGGATTACAGTGAGAAACAGGATCAACTGTGTGTGTTATAAAAGAGCAACAATCCACATGGACGGGAGGTTTAGAGGATTTCTCTCTCAGACATCAGAGAAAGTCCCAGACCCAACCTGCATGGCATGACTACTGACGTACAGGATATAAGTTTACATAGGGATTTAAAAGAAAAAGCCCCACATGCCTCTCCCCCCTCTATGATTGCCTTTTAGACGACTAAGCTTTCTGAACACGATGACAACCGTCACTGATTGTACAGATATGAAATATTCATCGTATTGCCACATATCTGCGTGGCTTTAGATAAAGAGCAAAGCAGATTGACCTACATACTTTCCCGATGAATAGTTAGCTGACAAAATCGGAGAGCGAGAGAAGCTCACGGGGAAAACGCTGCATGTCTGAGGGAATATCTGTCAAAGAGAGAGAAAGTGAAGAAGGTACAGACATTTCCATAAGATTAAATATTGTCCCAGATTATGTCCATGCGTCACCCGTTTGGATGAGTTTCTATTATGTTTACAACATCCTAAAGGATTACGTCAAGTCTAAAAAAAGGTTAACCAGGAAAAAACCCAGTGTGTGAGTGAATGGCAACTCTCCCATGCGATGGTTATATTTGTGTACTGGGAGTAAATGAAAGCCCTCTGTGTGGATTGGATGGCTCTGAGCCAGGCATAACTGTACTGTAGGCAAACTGGATCAAAGACTTGAAATAACATAGCATTTGTGGACGGATATAATTTGAGTTTCCTAATTAAGCCTGGGATTTTTTGCAATGTGATAGATCATAATGCATGAAAAAACAGAGGGGGAAAGTATCAAAGTGCATTTACTCAACTACTCTTCTTAAAGGAACCCATTTCTGCAAAATGTTTGGTTCAAATTAGTATGTAGTGTCTCTACTTTAAAGAGTCCTCTCCTGGTGATGTTCAGGTGTATATCAGTATGTAGTGTCTCTACTTTAAAGAGTCCTCTCCTGCTGATGTTCAGGTGTATATCAGTATGTAGTGTCTCTACTTTAAAGAGTCCTCTCCTGCTGATGTTCAGGGTTATATCAGTATGTAGTGTCTCTACTTTAAAGAGTCCTCTCCTGCTGATGTTCAGGTGTATATCAGTATTTATGTAGTGTCTCTATTGGGACATGTTTAATGTTCAAAGAGCTCTTTATTTTTCTCATACTGCCTGTGCTGCAGCACCTCTTTTCACCCTCTGTCTGAAACCAGAGCCCAGTCTTCTCTGATTGGTTAGCTGGCCGGCTCTTTTGTGATTGGTCAACCGCTTAGAGATGTCCCGCCCCTTATCACGTACAATGTGTTGGAGAGCTAGCCAATAGAAGCGCGAGTGTACTAGTGATGTCACTATGTTTCGGAAGTAAACAAAGGATTCTTATGTACTTAAGTGCAGTACTTTTGCTTGTAATGGAGTAGTTTAACCGTAAAGTAGAAGTACTTTCACTTAACTAAAGGATCCAAATACTACTGCCGGATTAAAATACATGACAGCTTAGAAAGGCTCCACCTTTACCAGCTACAAAATTAAAATGACGTACACATCGATGGGTCAATGATGATAATCCTGTAAAAATATTCAAGTACATTTTGAATGCCAGACTTTAACAGAGTTATTCTACACTGTGCTATTATTACTTTTAGATCCAAGTACATCTTCCACCTCTGAACAAAACCACCCCTGACATTTTATCCAGACATGGCACCAATTTGCATTTCAAACAACCGACCAAACGTATAACTTTACGTGTGAAAGATGATGATCTGAGGAGCTGGAATTGGCTCTGACAATAAAGAGCAGAGAGAAAGCAGCACCACCCACAGCTGTCTAAGCAGATAGCCTTGGCTAGCTCCATGCTAACGAGTGCCAAGGAGCCCACAAGTGTCTCACGCTCCGAGCGGGGAGGAGGCAGTTTGGGATTGAGACGTTGGGCGGTTATGGAAATTCAATGGTGCAGAAAAGTCCCACAAGCTCTGGTTTCGCTGCCTATGGCCCATCAGTGAGTAGAGGAGGGGCTGCTGGATGTTTTTTGGGAAGGGTGGTGAGCTCAGCAAGAGTTGCCTCTGTGGTATTTCTCTAATTATCTGCCTTTTGTCTGAGGGTTATTATTAAACTGGGGGGCATAGGTCACAGGAGACTCCTACCCACTGAGCTTCAGCTTGTGTTAGTGCACACTGTTTCCATCACATGTATTTCTGATGTACACAATAACTCTATGGAGCTTTACAGAGTCTCTCAGCTCATGGGCATGCTTTCACAGTTGTTTTAGCTAACTTTGTCAGTGTCATTTTCAGATACTTACAACCAAAAAAGGTCTTAATTGTGTCTGTATACCACCTGACTAGCGCCACAAAGCAGACAAAATAAGTAAGCAACCAGCTGGTGAACATAGTGGAGCATTTAGCAACTATTTATTTCCCTCAGGATTGAGTGGAGATCAAAAACAGAGCAAAAACCAGCAGAAATCAGTTTTTGCTGATTAACCATTAACATTTCGACCATATAGAACTACCTGTAAACACAACAATGGCATACAGTAATGACGAAAATAAATACGAATCATCATTAGCATGCATTTGGATTCATTTGTCCTAATATTAACTTGCCTTTAAGTGTAAAACTTGCTCTCTACATAACAACATGTGTCTCTTTAGCAGCTAAATGCTCTGTTATGCTCACCAGTTAGTTGCTTACTCTATGTTTGTCTGTCTCTGTGATGGGCAGGTGGCGTACAGTGGTTTTATCTGAGCTTGTTACTCTGGAAACATCTGCTTAGAGCAGCTGGAAGCATTACTGATGAGAGCACTGAGAGGGAACCAAAACTTGTGGAGGAAATTATCTGTGAATTGAACACTGTTTTTAAAAAGTTCCCAGTGACTGGCTTTTGAGAGTGAAACACAAATGCCAAGTTTACGCAGGGCTGGTGCATGGTGGACTTCCAGAGGTGGGAAGTAGTGGAGTACAAATACTTTGTTACTGTACTTAAGTACATCTTTCTGGTATCAGTAATTTACTCCACTACTTATTTTTCTGACGACTTTTTACTTTGACTTCTTACATGTTGAACCCAAATACCTGTACTTTCTACTTCTTACATTTTGAACACAAATACCTGTACTTTCTACTTCTTACATTTTAAACTCAAATACCTGTACTTTCTACTTCTTACATGTTGAACACAAATACCTGTACTTTCTACTTCTTACATGTTGAACTCAAATACCTGTACTTTCTACTTCTTACATGTTGAACCCAAATACCTGTACTTTCTACTTCTCACATGTTGAACACAAATACCTGTACTTTCTACTTCTTACATTTTGAACCCAAATACCTGTACTTTCTACTTCTCACATGTTGAACACAAATACCTGTACTTTCTACTTCTTACATTTTGAACACAAACACCTGTACTTTCTACTTCTTACATTTTGAACACAAATACCTGTACTTTCTACTTCTCACATGTTGAACTCAAATACCTGTACTTTCTACTTCTTACATGTTGAACACAAATACCTGTACTTTCTACTTCTTACATGTTGAACACAAATACCTGTACTTTCTACTTCTCACATTTTCCAAACAGGCTGGTTCCTTTAGTTTGAATGTGTGTTTGGTGGCGTGATCATTATTATTTAGAGTCATTGCGTGCCTATTGATTTGAACACGATCCGTGTATCCATCATTTCCTGGTCTTCTCTAAAGAAGAGGGACCAATGAAAACTTTGTCATGTTGCCGTTGTTCAGCATGGAAACATTCATTAGCTAACAATGACATTATTGTTCTATTAATATAAAGGGAGGTCAGGTACTCTTTAAAACAGCTGCTAGTTATGGGTACTTTTTACATTTCGAAGCCTTACTTTTACTTGAGTAAAGAAGTTTAGTCAGTACTACTTTCACCAGAGTATTTTTAAACACGAGTACTTCTACTTGAGTAAAGGATGTGTGTACGTCCACATCTCTGTGGATTCGAAGGTGGGGGATTTAGGAAGCTTTCTGGGGGATGGGTGAGCTGTGTACCTCTGCAGAGGATTAAGGTTGAGTCTGTTTTCCTAGTCCTCGGGGGTTTTGGTTGTTTCTTTCCCGACATTCCAGCTCCCTCCCTCCCATATCTTGAGTCATTGACTGTAACATCCACTCAATATCAGACGCTGAAT